CAGCTCCAGGTCATGCACTGGCCCAGCCTCAGAGCCCAGGTCTTCACTCTGCCACTGACAGACTGTGATGCTGGACAAGTCATTTCACCTTAGTGGGCAAATGTATTTTTAAAGTTCAGTCTGTGAAATGGAAAGACCGGCTTTTAAAAGGCCCAAGCAAAAGAACTGACATGAAAATGCAGTGACTGTCATATAGGTCACCACGTATGGAATGCCCAGCCTCCTGCAGGTACTGTGGGAAGGACAAGAACCTTCAGAGCTGACTCTCAGGACAGTGCTTGGGTGGGCGTTGGAGACGCTGCACAAAGCTAGCGAGTGGAAAGGCTGAGATCTAGGTCTTGGTAAGAAGAACTGCAAAGGTCATGCTATTTCTTCTGTGCCAGCAGCAAAACAGCCTCAAAAAGGACCCCACCCTGGGGTGTGTGGGAGGCCTGGGAAGTGAGGTGAGCAGAAGAGAAGACGGGATTAGGGCAGAGTTAGGAAGCAAAGTGGAGAAAGGAAAGGATTCCACACGGGCACATTAGAGTGGGAGGCGCATGAGGTGTGTTTGGGGACCTAGGCCTCCCTCCCTCCCTCTCTCTCTCCCTCCCTCCTTCCTTCCTCTCCTCTTTTTCTTCTTCTCCCTCTCCCTTCCTCTCTCCTTTCCTCCCTCCTTCCTTCCTTCCTTCCTTCTTTTTTTAGTGATAGTTACATGGGTGTCTTCACTTTGTAATAATTTGTGGAACTGTACACCATGATTTGTGCACTTTTCTGTACATATGTTATGCTTTTTTTTAAAAGGTTAAAAAGAAAATAGAACTTTGCAGCATATATTTCTTGAGTCCAAATTTATTTTTAAAGTTCATACTCATACTATTACTTATGCAGCTCTCATCCGCATCTATTCAAATGACATTAAAAGTTACGTTTAAGAAACTGAAGATATCCAGGTAAAATTCCCAAGAGTCTGGATTAATGTACAGATTCCAGAAGTGAAATTCTGGGAATTGCTGACTCTTCCTTTGGCTGACTAGCTCCTGGCATGGAAGCCACCATTGGTCATAGGCCCTCCTTCCTCCTCCTGCCCAGCTAGAAGACTATTTTCATCTGCCTCTCTTGAATCTAGGTTGACTACATGACTCAGGTTAGCCAATGAGATATGAGCAAAGTTTTAGGTGAGACTTTGGGGAATGTCCTTAAAAGGAGAAAGATCCATTTTTCTTTATCTCTTCCTCCACCTTAGATGTGATGGCTGGAGCTCTAGTGTCTACCTTGGTACGTACATGAGGACAAGAGCTTCATCCTTGGGAAATTAGAGCTAGAAGGAGCCCAGATCTTCAAAGACTCTTTCAAATGGATCTAATCCTCTAGCCTTGGATTGCTTCCATTTGAATGTTTGTTATATAGCAGAGAAACAAAATGTGTATCTTTATTAAATCTTGTCATTTTGGGGATTTCTGTCCCTCAGAGTTGAACCTAATTCTAATTCATACTTCTCCCATGAAAGAAACAATGGCCTTCCTTGTCCTCCTTATGCCTTATGATTAACCAAGGATCTGATGGAAACCCACCCTTTGACAAATTGGAAAGCCAAGAGCTCACTCACCACCCTAAAAAAATGCCATTAACCACTTCCTGGCATTAGACCCTACATGAAAGCTAAATGGACAACCCAAGTGGTATGATTTTGGAGGATCCAGGAAGTCTCCCAACTCTTTCACATATATGGTGCCTGAAATTCCATCTTTATGTATTAATGCATAGATTATACAGCTATGATAATTCCTCCTCGAATACAAATGATTCTAGGGAGGAGTACTATATTACTTCACCTTAGTGTGAAGTCATTTACCTTAGAAGTAGACACTGAGTTAGGACATTTCAAAGACGAATGGGAAGTAGGGGCAACATTTAGCCCAGTGTTTTTCAAACTAGGCTCTGGCAAACCCTCACATTCTAAGATGGTGTCTCCGGGCTGCCACTGAGCAACTCTTTTGCTTTGAAGCCAAGGTTTCAATGCTGGGAAAACTTTTAAAAACCACAGCTCTCTTTTTATTTTATAGGCTAGAAGTCCAAGGTTGCCAATAGGGTTCATCAAGCTAACTGAATTCAGATGGCCAGGTAGTGGCAGAGTCAGACCTAGAATTTAGGTTTCTGGCTCTCAGGACTGTGCTCGTTCCACTATTCCATGCTTCCTTCAGTAAGCTTCAGACTAACATTTGACTTTCAGACAGTTAACCTTTGGACTTCCTGAAGGTTAGCTTCAGACGACTGTTATGGGGATGAGCTAGTGAGAGTAAATGCAGGTAAGTTTGGTTGGGAGGAGGGCGAAGCGGGCAGATCCTGGTCTGGGTTTCACTGGGGATGCTGGAGCATCATCCTGGCACTTGGAGTAGTCAAGTGCTATAGAGGATGGAGGGAAGCCACAAAGGACACCTGACCACCATCACAAATTTGTGAGACTCACCGAAATCACTCCATCTCAGGCCCTAGTAAATAAATGCTGTTTACCTTAGACTTGTACAGCTTTATAGTTTACAAAATGCTCTCACATCTTTACATTTAATCTTCACAAACTTGTACTTTGAGTGATAGAGGTTATATTTTTCAGTTCACACGTGAGGACACCAGAGGGTTAAAGAAAGTCTTTCCTGAGCTCACAGAGCTGTGACCTAAAGCATGTCTCCTCCAGATCTCCGGTCCTGAGATCTTTCCTGCCACCCTACAGCACCTCCTACACTCTAGGACACTGTCAGCCACTTTCTCCAGCCTGTCACAGCCTTTGCAGCCAAACACTAAGGAATTCAGACAACAAGGATAATCTGTTTCCACAGTTGTAAGTTGGCTGACCTGTGCCTGGCTGCCTAAGGAGCTTGGTGATTATAGTCATAGGTACTAGCAACAGTAAACTAGTAGTGTCTGCATGCATGAGTGTGTGTGCGTGTGTGTGCGTTTTGGGGGGATGGGCAGGAGACAGGGCCACGGGTGATGCTGTACGTGGTTCTAAAATGTTTCTTGGATGTCGAAAGGGCACATCTCCCCAGTCCCTTCTCTGCCATGAACACTACTTGATCACGGCAACCATGTTCCATTAGAAAGAGGAAAGGGGAAACATTAAGTGGGAAAAGTGCTCTTGATGATGGTGGATATGGAGGTTGACTCTCCAGTATCCCTTTCCTCTCCATCTGTGTAGCAGCAATGTGGTTTCCGGAATTTACCCCCGTTCCTGAGGAGGGTTCTCAGTAGACTAAGCTGATTACGGCAGTGGTGCAGGGACCCAGGCGTGAGGCGCGCGGTGCCTGGCATCCCTCTGTGGTTATCGCTGACCCCGGGTTAGAGAAGAGTGTCTCTCTCCCCTCGCCTCCTCCTCTCCCCTCCTCCCCAGTCCCAGTTACTGTCTGCACCCATCATATGACCACTCTTAGGAAGAAGCCTATACTTTAATTTAGGACCTTCAGAATAGGAGACGGACACACTGCCCACTACATCAAAAGGGCTGCTAGAAGCCTATACTTTATTCTTTCTTTTTTGAGTACATACATTCTTATTTTTTTTTTAAATTTTTCAATAACAGTTGACATTCAAGTCTATTTTATATTAGTTGCAGGTGTACAGCGTAGTGGTTAGACATTTCTATAATTTACAAAGTGATCCCCCTGATCAGTCTAGTACCCACCTGGCACTAAACATAGTTATTACAATATTATTGACTATATTCCCTAAGCTGTACTTTACATCCCCGTGACTATTTTGTAACTACCAATTTGCACTTCGTAATCCCTTTACCTTTTTTCACTCAGCCTCCCAACTCCCCTCCCATCTGGCAATCATCAGTTTGTTCTCTGTATCGATAAGTCTGTTTCTGTTTTGTGTTTTTGTTTATTTTGTTCTTTAGATTCCACATATAAGTGAGATCATATGGCATTCATCTTTCTCTATCTGACTTATTTCACTTAGCCTAATACCCTCTAGGTCCATCTATGTCGTCGCACATGGTAAGATTTCATTCTTTCTTATGGCTGAGTAATATTCCATTGTATTTATGTACCACTTCTTCTTTGTCTAATCATCTACTGATTTAAAGTATAGTATCCTATACTTTAGATCAGCGGCCCCCAACTTTTTTGGCACCAGGAACTGGTGCTCCTATGAGAATCTAATGCCTGATGACTTGAGGTGGAGCTGAGGTGGTGATGCTAGCTCTGGGGAGCGGCTGCAAATACAGATGAAGCTTTGCTGGCTCTCCCACTACTCACCTCCTGCTGCGTGGCCCAGTTCCTAACTGCCCTGGACTGGTACCTGTCCATGGCATGGGAGTTGGGGACCCCTGCTTTAGGTGGCAGAGCAGAGGATGACAAAATCCTGGGGTCTAAAAATACTGATTAGCCAATCATGGAGCCCACATCACCTTTTTCTAATACATGGGATAATAAATTTCTCTATGATTCCTGTTACTTTAGTCAAAAGATCTTAATTGATACACTGACCTTCAGGACATAAGAATTCTGAACACAAGGAACACAACCCACATCCATGCTAAGTAGTCCCTAGTGACCAGAGGCATGCGTTTATGAGATCACTGGGCAAAGTTAGAGGGCACTCTATGCATAGAAATGTTATCCTATAATCTCCAGGCTGTACCTCATGGATAAATGAATCTGTGCTAACACATTGATGTTGGATGAAGACTAACATGTTGTCATTTATCCGGCTTTTGTGGACACAGTGCCTGAACACAGAGGAATGGCTTATACAGTGACTCTTTAGGTTAGTAGGGTAGGACTTTGTGCACTGGCCTCTGCATGTCACATGGTGTGGATCAAGAACAACTACAGCCTATTGGTTGACTCTGCTCACACCCATTCATTTCTGTATTATTTGTACTTTTACACTGCAATAGAAGATTTGTATGCAACAGAAACTGTATGGCCCACAAAGCCTACAGAATTTGCTATCTGGCCCTTTCAGAAAAAGGTTGCGGATCTTTGGGGTACAGCACTGTCTCCTTGGCCGATAAGTAATGACAATCTGGGCAAACCTACAACATAGCCAAGCCAGGCTGTCATATTGGTGACTACACTTGCAGCCAATGATCTGTTTCCGGTGTGTTTTCCAGCAGAATACACCGATCCTGTTGTTTTTTGCATGCAAGTATTGATATTACTGGCTGACCGGAAATTTCCTTTAGAAAGAATTCTGTTTCCACTAATTCCTGTTCTAACGTCAGATATGTGTTCCTCCAGAAAACCACTCCCCATGAGAGTGCATTGAAAATGTCTGAGGATGTAGTTAAGTGATGGTTACCTGTAAGTTTCCTTCCAGGGCTCTGAGTGCACTTCTCATGGGACGTCACCTGTATTACAGGCACTGATGATACTTCCAGTTAAATTTCTCTCCGTCAGGAACACTAGGATTTAAATGAGAGCTACCAGAGCCTTTCCCAAGATCAGGGTTTTAAAAGGAAGGGGGAAGAGAGTGTTTTTGCACCAGGGACCTATGGAGTAGAGGAAATCCCCAGAAAGTAGCCAAAAGAGTGTGTCACAGACGAGCTCTGAGATCGTGCCAGTGCTCAATGGACCAGCCCCGGGTGACCACACTTAACCGATTTCTATGAACGTCAAATGAATTGAAGGACAAAGCACTTAACACAGCGTTAGCTTTCATACGGGTGGCGATCCTCTGCCCCTTCTTGCCTGCTCCCCTGGAAGGAGGCAAAGAATTCATTCTCAAGTTGGTACAATAATGAGCCATCAATGGGGTGTGTGATGGGGGCTGCGGCAGTAGGGAGGGTCCTGTCAGGGAAAAGAAAGATAAGCTGTCACATCCATGCCTTTTTAGGCATTTCTCCCTCCAACTGTTCTCCACCAGCCCACAGATTGATTTATCTAAAATGCAGATCTGATCATATCATTCCCCTATTTAAAATCTTGCAGTGGTTCCATGAATAAAATCCCAACTCCCTGTGCTTTGGCTCCTACCCACCCATCCTGCCTCCTGTCTCCAGCCACACTGAGCTGACTGTGCCGCATCGCCCACTGACAGCCTTTGCCCACATTGCTCCCTCTGCCCAGCACACCTCATCTCACTCCTTTACCTGGCTGATTGTCGTTACCTGCCACAGTTCAGGTCAAACCTGCCTCCTCTGGACATCTTCCTTGCCATTCCACCCACACCCACCTCCCCACCCCTGCCACCCCCAATTTGGGTTAGAGGTATACCTGTCCTACTAGAGGGTATTGTCTGTCTGCCTTCTTCACTGCACTGCAACCTCCTTTAAGGGCACAGACTGTGAATTGCTGATTCTCATTTCCTCGGCATGTCACTTGATACCCTAGCACATAGTTGACACTCCCGCCACGTCTACCAAATGCCTGGAGCTCTCATTGAGAAGCGCAGGTGGTGGTGAAATGATGCATGCTTTGCTGTGGCCATGGCATCAGCACTGGGCATCCCCACTGGTGTCTTAGACGTGGTCATAGTGGGACACTCATCCCCTTCTTCTTTTCAGGTAACCAAGGAACACTAAACATTTTGAGCAGATATATTTATAAGGCATTCTTTTGAAATTCTAGCATTATGCAGACCACCAACGGAACATGTCAAGGGGCCTGCACTGGACTGGAAGTGAAAACATACTCCCAGCTAAATTCAACAGTGCTCCTCCTCAAAGGGCAGAACCTGAGCCCTGTGTTTCTACCTTAGGGCTCAACCTTCAAGGTGAGCAAAGATTCCAGGTCCATTTTGGCCACTGTGCCATATAAATGTGTTCTGCATGACCTTATTATAAACAGTGTTGCTGTTTCTGGCTACCCGCAGTGGAAATGGATCTTTCTGCACTGCGACACATTGGATGCGTACACCATTATATAATAATAATAATAATAATAATAATAATAATAATAATAAAAAAACAATGTCTCTCCCTTTCGAAACAAACTGGATAAATTACGGCAGATTCAGTGTAGACACACCTGGGGGGCAAAGCTAAGACAGAGGAGGATGTTTCTCAGGCTGCAGACATGAAGCCCAAAGGCAAGTTCATATCCATGTTCAAGATTATTTAATAAGTTATTTAGAATACAACTTGTACTTCATGAGGGAACTGGACAGAGGGGTTTAAATTATAATTCTATAATAACAACTTATTGGAGACAAGACTGATGAAGTAGAGTCCAGTCTCTGCAGCTGACCGTGCCATGGTAAACCCTGGCTGCCTGGATTACGAGGTTATCAATGGGCGTTCCCACTGATTGCAAGGCTCCCCACCCCCACCCGACCGCATCACACACAAAGTGTCCCCAAACCAGGAATCGGCCTCTTGAAACCTGCCTTATTAACACAAATATAAAGAAGCGCAAGAACAGCATGTACTTATCACAAACTCCTTGAACACACAGGCGGAATGTCACTTACATAATCTGGCAGGTTGCAGTTGTGCTATCTGATACGAAACGCGGCTTTCTTGGGAACCTCTAAGGTCTCTGTTAAAAAGGCATCTTTCCATTTTATATTGGAGACGACGATGCTCACAGCATGAGCAATGCCCATCAGTTATCGGTAATTTAGTAGATGGTGCCAGTGTTGACATTTGTTCTTGGCTTAATTGTGTGCGAGTGTGTGTTTGAAACAATGACGCAGCTGTCCCCATTCCTGGCAATTAGGATGTAAAAATGGTGCTCGCTGACTCTGGCATCATGATCAGTTATCCATGTGTTTACTCTTTTGTTTGCAAGGCTTTCTGAGTGTTTGCTGCAATTCTGCACTCGGAATACACATTCGGCTTAAAATGGAACCCGGATCCATATTAATAGCAACAGCAGGGACTGCAGACCTCCATGTTTCAAGATCTTCTGTGTCTGACTCCAGCACAGATGCTCGTGTTTGTGTGTGTATAAAAGATGCTTCTTTGACTTGCTGCGAAGACAGTCAGATTTAAAATACTATCAAGATTAGAAGCGCAGTGTCAGCAGAGGTGCCCTGGACAGCGCTGATCATCTGCCTAGTAGCAAGTAATCCGGGTCCTTCCCACACAGAAACTGCCACGAAGTTCTAACTGCAGCTAATGTCAGCATCGGTCTGCGTCGCTAATTCGTGCAGGTGACCTGGCCATCGAGGAGAGTCAGTACCAGGGTTTAAAGCTGTTGTTTTCCCTTGACTCTTTTGGCTCTTGGGCGTGTGGGCTTTTTGCTATTAGATTAGCCAGTTACTGTTAGTGTCAGCGAGGGTGGAGACCAGTTCCTTATTAGGTCATGGCAAGTCTGCATAAAATACCTATGAAAAAAAATAATTTTGGGGGAAACTGGCAGTAGTCATTAAAACTGAACATGGGTACACTCTGTGGCCCAGCAATTTCACACCTAATTACTGATACCCAATATATACCAGATATGCATGCCTGTATTCACCAAAGGACATGAAAGGTTCATAGCAGCAACTACCCAGGTCACCATCAACAGTTGAATGGGTAAATAAGTTACATGCAACGGCAGCATACTCTATAGCAGAAAGATTAAACAAACTCCAACTGTATCTATAAACTATCTAAACTATAACACACAAGCATTAGTTTTCTATCACTATGAAACAAATTACCACAAATTTAGGGCTGAAAACAACACGCACTTACAGGCTCGCAGTTGTGTAGGTCTTAAATCTGGGCATGGTGTAGCTGGGTTCTCAGCTGAGGGCCTCACAGGCTGAAGTTAAGGGGTAGATGGCTGGTGATCAGGATCCTCTTCCAAGTGCATTCAGGTTGTTGGCAGAATTCAGGATCTTTTGTGTGATTCGGTTTGGCTGTCATTTCCTTGCTGGTTGTCAGCCAGGGCCTAATCTCAGTTCCTAGAGGCTGTCTGCATTTCTTGCCATGGGGACCCCTCTGTCTTCGAAGCCAACAATGAAGAACTTCCCTCATGTCAGTCTCTCTCATACTTCAAATCTCTTCCCAGTCCCTTTTAAGGACTCATGTGATCAGGTCCATTGAGAATAATCTCCCTATCTTAAAGCCAACTGATTTGGGCCTTAATTACATCTGCAAAATCCCTTTGCAGCAGCACCTGGATTAATGTTTGATTGAATAACTGGGAAAAGATGTGTGTACAAAAGACGATGATGGAACCTCTGGGGTCATCTTAGAACTCTGCCTGCCATGCTCAACAACGTGGATGAATCTCACAGTCAACGGTGAGGAAAGAAGTTAGACACAAAAGAATATATAATGTATGATTCCGTTTGTATAAAATACAAGAACAGGAAGCACTGGTCTTTGGTGTTAGAATTCAAATAGTGGTCACTCTTGAGAATGTAGGAGCTGGAAAGGCACAGAATGGGTTTCTGGGGGCTGATAATGTTTTTGTTTCTTGATCTGCGCGTTGGTTACATGGGCGTGTTCAGCTTGGGAAAACTCAATAAGCTATACATTTTTAAAGAATAATTTGGATTTATTACTTTAAAATAGATTTTTTTAAAAAAAGGAAGTATGTACCCAAAGACAACTATTAGAGTGGGTACCTGGTGTGGAGAAAAAGCAGGAAAAGAAAAGCAACAAGGGCACTTTGCCTGGAGTGACGATGATGGTACCTCACCAACTCTGCAGGTGAGGGCCCATGTGGCGACACGCTGGAACTCTGTCAACCTGGACCACGTAATTTGTGTGGCCCAGCGCAAAGTGAAATACAGGGCCTCCTTGTTCAAAAATTATGAACTGGAAGACAGTGAGAGTGGAACATAAGCCGAGGGTGGGGGTGGGGAGTAGGCACTGGTCACACTCCCACAAAAGCCAGCCCTACCTATATGCGTGAGAGAAAGAGCCACAAGACTCCAAAGACTTCTCCAAAGACTTCTCCTTAGGTGAGTTACTTTGGGCAAGTAGAGCTTTGATCCTTTCCACTGTAAAATGGGTTAGCCAGAGGCTAGGAGGTGCTAATTCATTAATGTATGCAAGAGCAAGTACTTTTTGATATGTAAGATACCAAAGAAATATCAGGTTTATTATAATAATGGACCATCTAAATATTTCTGTGTTATTTAATTGGTTAAAAAGCCTATCTGTGACCTCGGGAGTAATATTTATTTGACACATAAACTCTTTATACGAGGTACAGGTTCTATTTCCACCAATAACTTGTGAGTTCACACGAATTCCAAGTTATTGGTGGAACCCTAATCATGAGATTTCAATGTGCATTTTTTTGGTCTTTCCAGTTCAAAGAGGAACCTATTAAATGTCAAGGCCAGGGTATTGGATTCTGGGCACTTTCCCGTCAATTTTTTTTTTTTCTTTTGGCTATGCGAGTTGCCTCCAAGTTCTGACTCTAGAACCTCCCCCAGTGGCTGGAGGGCCCTGGGCAAGGGCATCCTAGAATCATCCAGCGAGGGTTCAGTAGTGAATGCCACGGGCACGTGACTCCCCAGGCTCCAGGAGACTGCGGTGTCAGGATAACAGAGCTGTCGCTTGGTGTGGCTTGGTGTGCGGGGCGGGGTGCGGAGAGGTGGGGGGAAGGGGAGCGCGTTCAGGTGTCAGGATTTCTGAAGGGGCACGAGTTCGACATTGCACTTCTGTATTTATTTTCCGTGGTGTGCACTCTTGAAGCACAAACCTTTCTAGACTTAGTGACTTACTAAACCTTTCGGGGACTGTGGTACCCGAAGTCAGCCAGCTGCCTGACCTAAGATTTACAAGTGGTTCCAAGGATGAGACAAGGTCCCAGTGTCTCGGTGACAACAAGGTCTTTGACATACAGCCGGGAGCCGCAGCTGGGGAGGGAGTGGAGGCCTATGGCAAGGGCCGAGAGCCCCTGAATTTCCTCCCCGCAAGAGTCGGGCGCCGGGGGCCATCAGCATGCAGGAGCCGCGCTCGCGCCGTCCTTGAAGGGCTGCCCGACTGACCTTGCCCAGCATTCATTCTCCGGAGAAATCTCTGGGAGAGCGCGCGGACGCTGCCACCGCGGTGACTCAGTGCCCTGCGCACCACATGCAAATGTTCCCTTCCAGCAAGCACTGCTCCGCCGCAGCGGCTTCCCTTTCCTGCCCCCTTTTAAAATTCTACGATTCAAACTCGGCGTTCTGCGCTCCACCCTCCCCCTCTCCACCACCCGCCTGTCATTAGCCAGACTGTCCCGGTGTTTCGTCTCCCACCTCCCAGATGCAGAACTGAAGGCCAACCTTCGCGCTCCCGCGCGGCGGGCCGGGGGGATCGGACGTGGTCCGCTGGGCCAAGGGCACTGCGCTGGGCAACCGCGATCCCGAGCGCCACCGGAGGGGGCGGTGCGCGGCGCTCTTGGGCGCACCGGCGGAAGACGGCCCGGGCCCTGCTCCCCATTGGCCGCCACCTCGGCGGGAGGGGCTGCCCCGGGTTTGGGGCACCTGGCCGTTGCCCCTCCGCAGGGAAATCGGCGGATGCCGGGCGCCGGCGCCCGGAGGTAAAGCCATCGGGAGGAAAGACCCGGAGCCGCAGCCGAGCTCCCTGCCGCCAGCCCTGCCCTGCGCTTCGCCCCGGCGCAGGCGACGCTCGGATGCCCCCCTGCGCCGGCCGCGCCATCGGAAACTTTGCCCCGAGAAGTCCCGGTCCGTCTGATCACGCCAAGAGGCACCTGGTAGATCGTGCGCCCCCCGGGGCCCCGGAGCCCCGCGCGTGATTGCGGGGACCCCCCGGCGCCCGGCGCCCGCCGCGCCCCGCCGCGCACGAGCGGCCGCCAGGATGCGCTACGCGGATCCCTCGGCGAACCGGGATTTGTTGGGGAACCGAACTTTGCTTTTCATCTTCATCTGCGCCTTCGCTTTGGTGACCTTGCTGCAACAGATCTTGTATGGCAGGAACTACATCAAGAGGTGAGAAAGTGCGAGTGCGGGCAGGGGTGCGCGGAGCGCGCGAGCGAGCCCCAGGTGGCCCCCGCAGCGTCCCCACTGCCCGGGCGTCCTGGGTTCAGTGGCCGTGGGGTCTGCACTTAGCCACGAGCACCGCAGCGTTAGGTTTGGGTTTCAGCGGCGCTCCAAAGCGCATCTCCCCTCCCAGCAAGAAGAGAGCCTGCCCAGCACAGGCTGGAGGGGCCGACGACTTTGTTCTGCTGTGAAAAATGAGGGACAGGTTAGAATTCCCAGTGGCCAAGCTGACAGTAAATCCACTTGAATGCCCCAAGTGAGAGAAGGGGTTATATCGGTGTCCCCCAAACCTAGAGCGCCGTGGCCATTCGTCAACCAAATGGCCATGGAGCTCTAGATTTGATTAGATTACTTCGCCAGTCCTGAGCTTTTGTGGGGGTCCTTGGGAGTAAAAGCATATGTTTTTCCCCCCCGGAGCCTCAGATTAAGTGGGGGTGACAGTGGGCCAGGACGATGTGACAGGGATAATGAACTTATAAATCAGTAAACTCTGGATCTGTGCAACTCACAACCTGATGCCTTCTAAAGGTTCTTTCTTACCCTTACATAGAAGGCCAGAGCTACAGCAGAAGTTAAGTCTCCCCTGGTGGGGCTCTGTTCCCACTCACCCCACCCCATCCACTGGCCAGCTCCATTAAGAGAAAGAGCAATAGGAGGTGTCACTTGGAAACTCAGGCCCGGGCTCAGTCCCTGTGTGTGCGGAAGATACCCTGAATACCAGCGTTGTTTTCTGCCCTCTCAGCTGGCTGAGGGGGAAAGCGTTGGTTACTCTGCCTGGATTCAGGCCTGGGCAGAGCGCTGTCTAGGATAGATACGCCATATCCCAGCCTCTTTTGGAAAGAACCCCCTTCTCCTTTCTGCTGTAGGTTTTTTCTTTGCTGCCAGTGTCTCCCTACTCTCTCTGCCTTTCCCTCCAGGCTGAGAAAGACCAAAATGCCTCTCTAGCTGTATAAACATACCGTCTCTTCTCTAAACTTCCAAATAATAAAAACAGTAGTTCTCTTTTCATCTTTTGAGTTCCGCATTGGTCATTTGTGCCCCCCAGTCTGGGCGGCACGTGGGGGTGGGAGAGTGAGGGTTGCTGCTGAGTCTGGCACCATAGTAGGAAAACCAGTTAGGCCATTTCCCCCTCCATGTCCCAGAGCCAGGAGTATGACGCCCCTTGTCCAGGACATTTGCTTCCACACAGCCTCTGCTCCCGACCATCCCAAAGAGTGTTCTTCGCTGGTCAAAGGCAGCTGATGAGCTCTGCTTGGTGCTGGTGGCTTTAAAGGACAGTTTCAGTCTCCTGGCTTGTTGGAGCCCGTTGGACCTGCCTCTTTTGGTTACTGCTGCCATTCTCTCCTCCTCCCCGGACCCCAGGTGTCCTTATGCAAAGACAGCTGCGTCCCAAACGGCCTGCTGCAGCCCTGCTGGCCTCTGCCTGCTGTACTTGTTCCTCAGCACAGTGGCTCTGGGGTTCTGCCCTCTGCTGGCACCTACCGAGAGCTGCAGGGGCTGCCGGGACCCCCGCTGTCTTGTGGACAGTGAGAGAATATCAGTGCCCATGGTAAATGCCTTGCTCTGGCAAGCCCTCCCTGGTCCTAGGTGGATATGCCCATGGTAAATGCCAGCTTGACTACTAACGGCTTGCTCTGGCAAGCCCTCCCTGGTCCTAGGTGGATGGGCTAGCTGCCTGGAGTTCGGCAGCAAGAATTCCAGTTGCTTCTCATCCTTCCTCACACGGAGACCTTGGGCCCCTAAGTCTCAGATGCCACCCCGAAGGCCTCACCCCAGGGACTTGGTCAATCCAGTCAAGCCAGCAAAACTTGTACATGCCCCATCCTGGAAGGGTGCAGTGTAGTCTGTAAAGAAGACAATGCGGTCCTGGTATTCAGGGGGCTCGAAGTCTGTTTGGGGGAAACAAAACGGCCGCAAATGAGATAGTTACAAAGTAAGCGTTAAAATGTCTGAGGTGGGAGGCACCGCTGGGCTGAAGCATTAGGGAAGACTTCCCGGAGGAGGTGGAACCTGAGTGGGCTCTTGAAGGAAGGATAAAATTTGGCTAGGTGGAGGGGAAGTGCACATCCAGAACTGAAAAAGGCAGCAGCAAAGATGCACAGATGTGGCATCACCTCTCCTCACCTCTCCCATGTCTGACCCTACCCTCACCAGGGCACTTGCCCGACGATTGGTTATTTCTTCATGGAGGCCACCCGAACCCTGAACCAGGTTCCTTTTCCAACTTCTTAGGTTAGACCCTCATTTCTTTAATTTCCAGTCTTTGTTATTTTCTGATGTAAACATTTAAGGTTATAAAATTTCCTCTAAATACTTCTCTATTTATACCCTTTAAGATTTGGGATGATGATAATGACGACGATGATGATAACAACTCAGAATTGTATTGTATTTACTGTGCTCCAGGTCCTAGTCCAAGTGCTTTGTATATTACCATACTAAATTCTAACAAGAAGTAATAGGTACTACTACTGTTCTCCTTTTACAGATGAGGAAACTGAGGCATAGCGAGGTTAAATAATTTGTTCAAGGTCATACAGCTAGTAACTACCAGAAGCATTTTCATTATTTTGAATTGCAAATATTTTCTAATTTCTATCATAATTTATTTTTTCACTCGTAAATTTAGAAATATTTTAAAATTTCCAAATACTTTCTTTCTTTAGTTATTTTTTTACATTTTTAACTCAACTGCACTGTGGTAGTAGAATATGGAATTTATGGTGCCGATTCCTTGAAATTTGTAGAGATTTACTTTGTAGTCTAGTATGTGGTTGATTTTTCTAAGTATTATGGGTGTGCTTGAAAAAAGTGTGATTCTCTCATTATTAAGTGCACTATTCTAACACATCTGTTCAATCAAATCATTTTGTATTTTTCAATCTTCTGTACCCTTATTGATTTTTTTTTCCTGTTCTGCTCGATCATTCAATTTCTAAAAGATGTTTGATGAAATCTTCCTCCATGATAGTGAACTTATCAATTTCTCCTTATCAACTTTTACCTTATGTGTATTGAAGTGATGTTATAAGATGCATATTAGTTTAGACATGTCTTCTTCCTAGTGAGCTAAATCTTTTATTATGGTGTAGTGACTTTCATTATTTCTAGTATACTTTGAGCCTTAAAGTCTATTTTGTCTAATATAATATAGCTAGGCAGCTTCTGTTTGGTTAGTATTTGCTCGTTATAATAATATAATAGCTATTACTAGGGAGGCATGAATTATAGGGATTGGCAGATGCCCTAGGGCAGCTGCTGGCTTTAAAACTCATTTACTACTTCTTTCTTTGCCAGATTATTCATCCAATTAAGAGGGCATTTTATACATATTTTAATGACTATTTTAGTGGTGTGTGTGTGTGTGTGTGTGTGTGTGTGTGTGTGTGTGTGTGTGTGTGATGTTGCAGAGTAGGTTCCCTGGAAAGCAGATTCTGAGCCAGAGATTGGAGTATAGCATGTTTATTAAGATGTGTTCTTGGGATCAACACCTGAAGAAGGGGGAAAAAGTAAGACTGAGCAGAGGGAGAAACTGAGGTGCAGTGCAGTCCTAGAGAAGGCCTTAGCCAGCCTCATGGGGAACCCTGGAGAGTTGTCTCAGAGGTGAGGAGGCCAGGCCTTTACATGTCTACGTTGAATTTTCAGTCATGTGGGCTGCTTCTGGAAGAGGGCGTAATATTGGCCAAGTTGACTTTCCTCATACGAGGCAATTCCTAGAGAACACTGAGAGCTGGGGGCTGCCAGCTCACAGGCACCCCCAGAAGTGAGGAAGAAAACCTTTGTATTTGAAGGAGCACATACCGCAGAGAATTTCAGTCTGCCATTTTCCCAGAAAGGGAAGTCTTTGAAGGCCTCCATCTCCTACTCCCTCCCCAAACGGAAGTCTCACCTCCTAAGTAAGGTCAGTCTGTGCCTGAAGCCCCAGTCTTAAGGAGAGCATGGCTCCTGTCAGTCAGGGGTCTTTCACATACGTCACGTGTGTTCCGACGCTGTGCCTTTACCCACTGTGTCCCCATTGCTGTGCCTCCCCACCTGTCTCTCTGCCAGTGCAAATCCTGCTTCTCCTTCCGTTTTCAGCCCACAGTGTTCTCCCCCTGCTCTGAATTCATAGCGCCTGTGCTGTTTGTCTCCCATCCAAGTACTAACCAGGCCCGACCCTGCTTAGCATCCGAGATCAGACGAGATTAGACAACCTGTGCTGTTTGTACTCAGCACACTCTGCCCAGTGCTGTCCTGTTGCTTTGTGTGTGATGGCACAGCAGACAGGCGCTGAGGCTAGGCCTATTTTGTTCTGCCTTATATAGAGAGGACTTTCCAATATGCTGTATTCCCCCCAGCCTTCCTCTCTCCTGTACCTCCAGGGTGCAGATCTGGGCTGCCTGCATGTGGCTGGTGCAGGCTTGAGACTTGAGGATAAGAAACTGGGTCAAGGAAAAGTACAGCCTGACTTTGTGCTGTATCCGAATTGTATGTTCGAAGTATTCTCCTCGCCGAATGAACTCTGCCCCCACCCAAGGTCAAAGCCTTCTGATCAAGTGCCCTGAGAAACAGGCACAGACCCAGGAGATGCGGACCATGGGATCGGAGGATCTATGCAGGGGGTAAGTCTGGGGGCAGGGTGCCTAGTGGGGACAGGGTGGAGCCACGGGGTGTCCTAGAGAGGAGCTGAGCTGACTGGTGCCTGGGGTTTGTTCTATGCTGGCTACAGTTTTGCTGCTCAGAGCAAGTTTTTACTGCAGGGCTGGGACTGGGGTGAGGCAAGCAAGGCACCCAGAGGACAAAATTTAAGAAGGCTCCCTCTCAGGTGTTGACCCCGCTCTTGCTGGAGCCTGCGCGTTGGGCCGCCCTTGCTTGCCTCACTCTGGTCCTGGCCTTGGTCTGCTGTGTGCCCAGCCCGCACTAGGTGGTGGACATTAGCTTCCTGTCCCTTAGGGACACCGTGCTGCCCT